AAAGAGTGTGGACATAAAAAAAAAATGTATGGTTGTGATACAGAGAGCCTTGCTCAAGAAGAGCATGTGTCGAAACATTGATTGATTGCTGATCTCTCAGGGAAGCACAGTCGCAGGCATTGAAGGCCTCCTATGATTTATCATTAAATCTCCATCTTTTCCTTCCTCTGAAGTAAGCTTGAAATGTACTCCAGAAGAGAGCAAATTACCACCAGCAGCTCATCCACTTAATGCATTTTATAGATTTAACTTTTCTAGAAAATAAACATTCATAGGTTTTATAGTTAAATCCATAAATGTTTAATTATGCCGCCCTGAGGCTTCGGCAAGGGGCGGCATAGAAATGTTATAATAATAATAATAATAATAACAACAATAACAATAACAACAACAACTGGCCAAATTAAATAAACTGTTTGTGGCTGTTTGTTTTGATGTGCTGTGACCTACTCACTGTATCACCTACATATTGATAGATATGCCTCAAAAAGGTATATTCTCTACAGCTCAGAGAAGAATGGCAAGGTTTGCAAAGTCATGAATCTGTTCTTACTATGGGATACAATTCAAAGAAACACAAACATTTTGGTTGTCTTTATAAAAGCTTGTTTTCTTAGCTTGACTTATGTGGATTTTCACTCTGAAGTTACTGTCCTGACCCTTGTGGATTGAAATAACCATCTGGTACTATGTCAAATTGCATTTTGGATTTGAGTATTTACACTCTACCCAGTGGTCTTCTCTCACTGACTTCCAGTCTTTGCTTTAAAATCACAAATAGACAAACACTGAAGCAGTTGTTGGTACCTTAAATGTAGCGTTTGAATATGTTTCTTTGAAAGTTGTACAGTAAGGTACCCATGGATTAAAAATCCTACATGTCCATCAACTAAAATGTTCTATTGCCAGAAACTCATCAGTCAAGGATTTAACTTATTTTAATTTCATATCTTTTGATCAACACTATGTTTTTGACTTTATTTCAGAAACTGTTTAAATTTAGATTTTTTTAACAGCCTTTATTCAAAAAGGCTTTGGCACAAAGCTTTGGCATTCATGGAAGGGGCATGAGAAAGGAGCATTCAGTTCAAGTCTGCATAACCTAGCCTTAATTCATATTTAGAATAATTTGTCCTTTTAAATTGGACAGATGCAGTGAAGAGAGTAAAATAATCCTTCATCCTGTCAAAAAGGCCAGTACCTACAGAAAGAGGTTTAATTGCATCAGGGACTGTAACTTCAAGAGGGTTGCATCTTGCATGCTTGTTGTTGTTCTTGAGCTGCGGACATATATTTCTCAAGCCCATGTGCTTGTTTTTCATTTATTCATAGCATTAATGCACAGGAAGTATGTATATGTCTTATGATATAATGTATCTTAAAATCTAATGGTTCAGTTGTCTCATCAGAATTTGAATGATGACAAAATGCATCAAGCAATAGGTGATGCTACTAGAAATGCAAGTTCTTAAGATTTTGCCCATAAAATGTCTAAAAAGTATCATATCACTTACTTGTGCCATGTCTCTTACTATTGAGAAATTGACAGAAGAGCAAGAATTAAATGTATACCTATATCAATATCAAGACGTTTTATATTTTAACTTATATTACAAGAGCATGAACCAGCCAAATTAAACATTTTGTCTCCTCAAATTAATGGGAGAGTTAAAAAGGTACTCTTAACCTTTCCACGGACAGAGATGGTGTTAAACTTACTAGTGCCTGCAGGGGAGGCAGAGAATTGGGACTATAAAGAGAGAGGTTGACCCTTTCCCTGCCCCTTTCCTTGTGGCTTGGGTAAAAAGCTCTCTGTGGCTGGTGTTAGCTCTGGGAGGGAAGATTTCATTGGTCCCCATGAGAATTTTTGTCAGAAAGGAAAGTGTTAAAAGAAATTTGCTGTTTACTATGGTCCCTCTTAATGCTGCTCTTGCTCCACATACAGAGTCACTATTTGCTATTAAAAGAAATCAAGATGTAATATCAAGTGGCTCCTCAACTTTAGGGTCTAGCTTTGTACCCATATGTTTTTCAGCTTGGCTGGAATATATCCTAACTATGTTGTTATTGAATTTAATTATGTAAACCAAATCGAGATCCCATTCAGTAGAACAGCCAAAGCTAAATAGATAATGAATTCAGTAGTAACGTATGATGTGTCCAAATGATGATGGACTGGTCGTACTGCTGCGTTGCAGGTGGCACTGCATTTTCCTCAACGTATGCCAAGAGCAGTCACCCCGTGAATTAAAACAGGTATTGAATCTCTTTTAGCCCAAGGGCTGACTTTAGTTTTGCAGATGCTTTCAGGGACTGCATTCCATTGGTGGCAGGACTGAGAGCAAAAGGGGCAAGGCCAAACACAAATGGATGGGGACAAAAATGGCAGCATATTTTTATCATCAGCTCTTTCTGCCAATAATAAACCTGGGAAGACAGGAAAATGTGCGAAAGTAAACACAAGTTGCTTTTTTGGGTAAAGGGAAAGGGGAGCCAGGTACAACCTTAAGGAAAAAAAATGGAGAGCCAGATATGGCCTGCAGGCATGTGATTCAACGTCAGTGAATTAAAACTTCCCTGATTTGGGTCAGGACCAAAATACTGTAGATGAACACAAGAAGAGCTTCTGGGTCAGACTGGGGGTCCTTCTGGTTCAGCATTCTGTTCACACAGCGGCCAGTCAGCTGCCCACAAGCAACTCAGAATCAGCATGAACACACCAGCACCTTCATGCCCAGTTTCTCTGCAAATGGTGAGAGTAGGCCCACTGCTGGAGGAAGTGCTGTTCCTTCTTCCACATCCCCCTGTAAGCAGAGACATCCAAAACAGTAACTTACAGGGAAAAGGAGACTACTGCTGGAAAACAATCCCAACTCTGTCTCCAGGTGTTTAGGGGTCTCTGTGTTTTTTGTTTTGCTAAAAAGAAACTGGACAGCCATCTGAGTGGGATGGTGTAACGGGGTGTCCTGCAAGAGCAGGGGATTGGACTCGATGACCTTCATGGCCCCTTCTAACTCTACTAGTCTATGATTCTATGAAACAGGTAGTGTTACAGCTGGTCTTTATGTAGAACTCTGGGGGGTATTTAGAAAAAATCTGAGTATTGAACATAATGCTAATAACATAATAACAAATAAAAAACTTGTGTTCTATTGTAAATATCCCCTTCATTTGGTTTAAGAGTCTGGGGAGATCAACTCCTACAAAATCCAGGTTATTTCCTCTAAAGCAATTTCACAAATTATTTGCTGAATCTTTACATTTGGGATTCGTTCATCTACTTTCTAGATTGTTGTTAGTTAGCCTGATCCACCTATGCAAACAGCTATTTTCCATCAATTTCAGTATGACAAAAAGAATGTAACTGTTGAGAATTCAGTTTTAACTGGTTTATGGGACAAGTCCTGAGGTGACAATGGAACAGAAAGCTTGAATGGATGTGATTTTCCCCACCCAACACGCACACACATTTGCTGGCTTAGATTTTGCTCTAATAACTGAAACAGGGAGTTAAAGCCATTCAGATTCTTAATCTTTATCTGAGTAGTAGTATTCACAGCATGCAGCTGAGTATTTTCATATTGACACATAATAGCTATACGTTAATCTGTTGCTAATCTGATATAACCTTCTTTTGCACATTGATCACAGCATTTCCCTCCTGGGATGTGAACCCAAAACTGACCCAGGTTAAACAGTTAATTATTTTAAGCTGAGTCTAAATTATTCTGCTTTCATTGTCTTTTAAATGAACATCTGATTAGACTATTTAAACAGCAGTCCAGTTGGAATATGATTTGGAACAGGCACTTTATAAGACAGTTGTATTTTCTGCAGGAAAAGACATTTGCTCCTTCAAAGACAGGATTCGAAAGGAAAAAGTGAGAAGCACAAAACAAACAGAGGCACCGGTTCTTACAATTACAATTCAGCCACCTGGAATGGCAATGGTGCAGGTAGCCTGAGCAGAGCAAGTAGCTGCTGCCAGGTGACAGCTGGGCTCATAGCAGAGCTGATAGCTTAGCCCGTTTCTCTGCTCCCCCTCTGCTCTACAGCCTGATGCAATGGCTGCCGCTATGTAAAACGTCTACTGCAGATTCCTATTCCTGCAGGTACAGAGTACATACACCAGGGCCTTCCCAGGGGTTTCTGAAACACATGCTTAGGAACATTCATGTAACTGCAGCAAATGCAATTGCCACTTCATGTATGATGGCAGCACAGTATGACTGGCTACCTCTTGTAGGAGTTGGGAGAGTGGCATTTCAGTATCCTGAGCATTTGTCATTTCTCAGCCACTGCTGCTGGCCTTTCCCCTATTTATTTATTCTGTTTTTTCCTTCAGGGAACCAAGGTGGCTTACATAATCTTCTTGCACCTTTCTATTTTATCCTCATAACCCTTGGAGGTGGGTTAGACTTAGAATCAATGACTGGCCCAAAGTCCCCCAGTAAACTCCATGGCCAATTGAGGACTAGATCTTGAATCTCCTTAGTCCTAAACAAACTTTCTGGCTATGGAGTGGCATACAAATGCAATAAATAAATAGCTGTTCTGCTTGCTTGCTTTTTAAAAATAATCTTCCTCTTTTACTCTCTATCTTTTCTTCTACCAGATTGCAGGTGTGAGCTTGCTTAGCTAGAAACATAAAGGAACTGCCTTTCCAAGGTTCTATCTTGATTTGCCCTTATGAGCATGCTTAGTTATATAACAAATGTAAGAATCGTTTTTCTAGATAAAAAAAGTTCTTTTTAGTCAAGTAGTTTACTTGTGTACTTGACCCACAAGTTTGGAAGGCAAGTTGATAGAAAGGTAACCGTTCCTTGTATTTTCCAATGAAAGGTTAATAGTTAACATATCTATAATATTCATTGATCATGTGCATCTTCTGTGAATTTGTCTACTCATCTTTCAACAATATTTCTGGTGTATAGAAATCAACCTGGGCTGTTTTGTATGTCCTATCTTGTTTTAGAGGGGCTTGTCTTTGTATTTTGCAGCTGTGCCTCCAAATGTTGCAGAACTAAGGAATTTAGAAGTACTCAACTTTTTCAACAATCAAATTGAGGAGCTTCCCACTCAGATTAGCAGCTTGCAGAAGCTGAAACACTTGAACCTTGGGTATGTAACCATTCTGGTCACTTGCTTAGATCTTCTGTACAGGCTGCAGTCCCAGAAAATTTCCTTCTCTTCCTGTTTTTGCCATCTAGGAGAAAAGAGAGAAAGAGCACTTCCTTACTGGTTAGTCATCTTCCAATTCTTCCCCTGAAATAAGTTCAGAAATAGAAAAACTGTTTCTCTTGAGTGGCAAAGCCTTTTGTGCTGCTCTGGCAAAAGAAGTCTCTTATCTGTCTTAACACTCTACATTTGCTATCATTTCTGGAAATGGCAATAGATAGATACTAAGTATGGGTGCGTTTCCCCCCTGTAATTTTCTCCTTTCCCTGTAGAGTTAAAAATCAGCATTATGACATGCAGACAAAGGATGGCATGATGTTATCCGCATCTAAATATTCTCCATGAGATAGCAATGTAGTAAGTACCAGTGAGCCTGCCTTTTCTTCATTCCCTCAAATCTGCCCATTTCCTCCCTGAGCAAAATGAGTGTGACAGTTGCCAGCAGATTATCGCCTTGCCTAATGCCCTGCAGTGTTTCTCATGTTGCCCATGACAGAGGCCCCGCCAGACCTGTATTCACATGTTACATGTCCAGTGACCAAGGAGTGAAAATGCTGCACTGCACCATGTGTTTGCAAATTGCAGAGCTAGGATTGACTTAGGCAAAATATATACAGTCATCCAAGAATTGTGTTTGTGTTGAAATAAATACTGACTGATTGGCTTAGTTTTTTGTTTTTCTAAGGAGGCTGCTTTTTATTGTGCTCAGTTATTATGTGGCAGTTGCTTGCTCTGTATTGTTAGTATTTTCATATTTATCTGTTTTTATTGTTGGCTTGGCTTGTTTATGTGGCATCCAAAACAGAGAGTGTGTGTGTGTGTGTGTGTGTGTGAATTTTAAAATGAAGAAATGCAAACTGTGCATGTGCCATGCCTTCTTTTATATCCCAAACAGTGCAACCTTACCATCTTCTCTTACCCTTAGGATGAACAGACTGAATTCCCTGCCACGTGGATTTGGCTCTCTACCCGCTTTGGAGGTTCTGGACTTGACTTACAATAACCTAAATGAAAATTCCCTACCTGGAAACTTCTTCTATCTAAGTAAGAAAGTGTTTAAAAATAATTTAAATCATCGTGAAAAGTTGCTTTTCTTTCTGCAGGTGAGATTTACTTGAGAGACTCTAAACCCTAAAAAGACTGCTTGAGATATATGCCTCTTTCTATGAGCCTCCTTGAATATTTCTACATAGCTTGGCAATCTGTATCTTTTGATCTATAGTCACCTGATATTGGTAGAAGTAAGTGGATGGCTAGGAGTGTTTTATGAGCTGCTGACATGGTTGTATTTCCTGAATTTTATACTGAGCTAAAAGTTCACCCTCTTGGAAAGGTAGGATGGTCCCCACTGGGTGGGGGAAGAATTCTCGCAACCAAGCCATGGTCTGCTTTACTCAATCATCTCTTAATTGTTAGTGTTGAGTCCAGCATCAGCACATTGCCAGGGAGCAAGGATGCTGAGTTGTTTTCAGCCGGAGGAGGCCAAATTTCACCTTGGAGGCATTCTTGCCTGCCAGTGGTGGGTGGGCAAAAGGAAACAGGGACAGAACCAAACTCACATGGGGCCAGGAATGCCAGTATATTACTGCTTGGTAACTACGTCTTAGCAGGGTCTTTCACCCTTCTAGAATAGCAGAAAAAAAACAAAGGCCCGGGACCCTAAGGTAGGAGCAGGAGAAAGTATCTGAAGAAGCCCCAGAAGGTTGGATTTGGCACTCAGAGGATAGGATTTTGCCCCTGGGCCTGCACCCCTGCTCTGGAGTGATGTTATGTTGGGAGCACTGGGGAGAGATTTAAAATAGTGGCTGGCGTGTTAATCTAGTGCGGCTGCATAGCATAATCACAGTGCTGTGTATCAAGGGTTTAAAAAAACCCCTCACCTGTCATTAAGGTGCCTTGGCCAGCCTGCCTACCCTGGATTTGGTAGGCCTCTTTAAGGACCTTGTAGCTTTCCACTGAGAAACATGCTTGTTGGCTGCACTGTGCGGGCAGGTGAGCTGCTCTCGTCTTCCCCTCCAGTGGCCCCATCATTGCATCAGGAAGGGAATATAAATGCCTTTCTCACTGGCTTAGTGATGCTGGAGGCCAAGTGGGATGTGTAGTTTGGGGCTATGTATTCATTTCTTTCTATCACAATTGGTTTGTGAGGGGTGGAGAAAATGGGAGTGGGGCTGGATTGGAACCATGGTAACTGAATCGGAGGATTCTACACCAATGAGTTGCAATGGCACTATAAATAGCAGGCCCAGGACCTCAAGTCCATATAGAGACTGCAGTGGGAGCAAAGGGCTAAAAGTTCCCTCTCCACACAGCATGGTCCCAGTCCTGCATTCCCTTGCCCCCTCCCTGGATCATTGGCTATTGGTAAAAGAAAAAGTGACTGCTTGGGCCAAACTGAGCTGAATGCCATATGGAGCATGACCGGAAGACTACACATCCCGGAATACCTCACAGTTGGTTGTACTAGTGCAGACTTGTGGAATTGTAGTCCAAAGCACCTGGAGGGGCACCAGGATGCCTACCTACCTTGCAGGGGATAGTTATGAAGGCAGAAACCATGTTTGAAAATAAGCAGGTCTGCGTCTGCTCAGTGCCTGCATAGCTGATCTGTCAGGACACTCCTGTATCATGGAAGACCAGCACCTTATGAATGAGCTAGGTCCACAAATATGCTGTTGGTGAAATGTATATCCTTTTAAAATTAAATTTTACTTAAGTAAATTAGTACTTAAGTGAGTACTTTTGTTAGGTAATTTCAGTCAGAGAAGATTTAACTACAGCTTCTGGTTCTCTTGTTTCTTGGTTCCGGATGACCAGAAGTATGTGTAACTTGATGCAGTGGTAGTTTGTTTCTTTAATATGCTACCCAATCACCAAGGCTCTCAACCACCCATACTCTGAACAAAAGTTAAACATGAGTAACATAATCTCATTCCGGCTTTAGGAATATCCATCCTAGGCATATAATGTATATTCTGAGCCATCCAGGTAATTTAGAATTGGAAAGGAATTATCCCTTCTCTTGCCCATGCCAAAACACTTAGCACCAGTTCAAGCTTTGCTCTCTTTGCCTCAAGGCAGGGGTGCTTCAGCTCCCAGGCCACATTCCGTTTTGGAGAAATCGTCAGACCCTGAAATGCAGTGGGGGTGGGACTGAAGGCAAAAGGGATGGAACAGAAACTCCAGCAAATTCCAGTGACTGTGACTTGGGAGAAGCATTTCAGCTTTTAGAATGGGGGTTGGGAGCACAGCTCAACAGAATTGCACCAAAACCAGGAGAATGCCAAACTGTCTGTGACTGGGGAAAACTGGTGAAGCCTCAGAAAGGGACTGTAGCCATCTGGGACTTGAGACAGACTGGAAGTGGTCCCTGGGGCTGACCACCCTGTATAGATTTCTATACTGTCCCTTTAAGGGAACAGAGAAGATATACATAGAAAACACACGGATCTTTAAGGTATTTTTATTCTCTCCTGTATTCCAATGGCTTCTCAGTTCTTTGCACAGACTCAACAGAAGTGCAGGGGTAAACCTATCCAAAACTTTAAGGGCAGAGTTATGGATGCAGATTTGAATAATAACCCAACGTCAGAAGTAATAAATTGTGATGGATTCTGTCCAGGCAGGCTAGCACTGAAACCATGTGCCACCTCCTGCCAGTTTCTAGTATCGTAGGAATTGTTAATTGTGTCAGTCCTTTTGGATATAGATGTTTTCCTGAGCCGACCAGCAGTACAATAAGCCAGTAAATCTAAGTTTGACCTGCTTGTTATTATTGTGAGCCTTGGGTGTGTCAAAGGCTTTTCACCAAGTCATGGTTATTAATCAAAGCTGACACTTTTTTATTGATCAGGCCTCAAATGCCACCCTGTTTATATAGTGCTGTTTAATTTGCAGCCACCCTGCGTGCACTCTATCTAAGTGACAACGATTTTGAAATCCTGCCACCAGATATTGGGAAGCTCACAAAGTTGCAGATAGTAAGTAATTTATCTAAATTCTTGGAAAAATCAATTCACTTTTGCAGCCCTTGTAACAGTAGAATCAAGTCGATTTGTGAGGAGTAGTGGGCTGTTAGATTTTTTGAAAGAATGCGCTTCTGCACCTGGTATTGCCTATTGTTAATCAGCAGGTGCTTGTAAATAATTGGAGGAATTGAATGTTTAGGGATGGGATGAAGTGGCAGAAAGTGCGAGGTCTGGGTTTGACTGCAGGGTAAGATATTTATTTATGACAGATTTTGACCTGCTTCCTTTCAGCTGAGAATTATTCTGACAACTCTGTGTATCCTGCTTTCTCTCTCTTTCTTTCTGCCCGCTGTTTTTAAAGCTTAGCCTTAGAGATAATGACCTGATATCACTCCCTAAAGAAATTGGCGAGCTCACCCAGCTTAAAGAACTTCATATCCAAGGGAATCGTCTCACTGTGTTGCCTCCTGAGCTAGGTAAGATTTGTTCGTTGTTGGTGTAAGGCTAACCAAAAAGCATTCAAACACACATCTCATTTTTGCTAACCTAAGCTATCCATAAATATCCGTACAATAATTAAATCTTTGCTGCCTCTCTCTATGCTTTCCATTAAATGCAAACTGGAAAAAACTTTACAGACAGTTTCTCAGTCTGGGGGGCAAAGTTGCTTGCTACTGTTGCATCTGCAGTAGTAGCTTTCCATATTGTGCTTAACACATGCACCTTGCAATATTGAATCATTCTTTTTTTATTTGACTTTCTAACCATTTGACTTGTTGTAATAGTCTATATTTGGCTGGCTGAAGATGGTCTTGTGTTTGTGGATGAACTGCTCCCAGGCTTTGCGGCAAAAGCAAATTGCTGTAAGATTTTGAGGTCATGTATCTATGCACATTCTTTTCTGTCAAGTATTGTCTACATCAGGCAGGGACTAATAGTACACACTGATCGTTCCTCATCTGGAGGCTTGTCTGTTAATGTGCTCTGTTAGAGTGATGGGTGGGTTCTCAGCGTGTCTGTCTCAGACATTGTTCCTCAAAATATAGTTCAGGAGATGGTGGTAAACACTCATGCACAGATAAATAAAATTTAGTAGGTCTTGCCTTTTTCCTGGATTTAAAAGGGTATGTGCTGCAGTGAGAGACAAATCATGATTCGCTGCAACAACAGAATTGCAACCAGTTACATGAAGTGCCAAGATGCACTAAATTTGGTACCTTGCATATATGTTGGTGACTGAACAACTAGAGCAGCATTCTAGAAGGAGCCCAGGACAGGATAAAGAAGCCAAAACAAAGCACAGATACACTTTCTAGGATCAGTGGTACATGTTCTAATGTACATGGTTTGCTTTGCCTATGTGTGCTGTGCTTAAAATAATTCAGTGATATGCATAGTAGCCCTAAGCAAAAGGCTCATTAGTGGCTTGGGAATGATGCAGCTTCACTGGAAAAGCCATCGCCATTGGTGAAACAATGAAAAGAGGTTTCACAATCAAGCGTTGCAGTTGTGCAAAGAATACCATAGATGAGTGTGATTGATATTATTGAACAATTTTGTTTTGATAGATAACTAATCATTTAAGAACATTTCAGAGTAAAGAATGGGAACTGAACACACAAAGGGGAAGGATGCAAGGGGAAGAGAAGTGGTTCTTCTTTCTGTTCAGATAGTATATTAAATTATATACCTATTATTAGTCAAGTGTCTAGAGCAGTGATGGGTATATTCCTAGTGCCAACTTTCCCAACCTGGTGCCCTTCCAGTTGACTTGGATGTCACCCCCATCAGTTCTAGCCAATGGTCAGGAATGCTGGGAGTTGTAGTCCAAAATATCTGGATGGCACCAGGTTCTGTCTGGAAATTAAGTATGGGCTATATAAAATTACCAACTTTGGGCCAGTCACAGACACTCAGCCCAACCTACCTCACAGGGTTGTTGTTGTGGGGATAAGGTTGAGAGCAGGAAGAAGAGAATGAGAAGAAGAGGCTGCTTTGTGTGCTTTATAAGAAAAAAGGCAGGATATAAATCAAATAAATGAAGTAGGTGAGTTCAGTCCTGCTAATTAACTGCTAATCAACTGCTGCAGCTCTGACAGTCATCTGTTACCATTGCTAAAGAAAGCATGCTCCTGGCCGAACCAGACAGGAAAGGCAAGGCTTGCTTTCCTGTTGCAACACCCAGTCTGCTCCATAGCCCAGTGGGAACCCATTGAGGTCCATTGAAAAGGGTTCCTGGGAGGAATGACTTCATACAAACAGTGATCTGAGCACTCCAAAGAACATAATTATATCACTGTTTGAATAAGCAGGGAAAGCGTTTGGCAACAGGCTGGGCTGTATTCACACAGAAGTGTAGGTTTGCGAGGCCAGGTCAAGTTGTAATGAAGACAGAGCAGCCTCACTAGCATCAGCACCATCTGGGAAAACTGAGTCCAATCACAGGGCAGTTATTGATGTGATTGTTGAGAAACAAAACTTGCTTTTCAGTTGCTCCGCTAACAACAGCAGTGTAGATATGCTTAGGTGGGGTCTGCAGGACTGGGATCCCAGCCATAGAGTGACTTCCGCACCACACAGCCACAGGTGCAGAGAGAAGACAGGCTCAAGGTATGGCCTTTGTATTCTCCCCGGCTCTGAGCCTGCGTTGCATTCCTTCCTGTTGTGGGTTTCTGCATGGCACAGTCATGTATTGGCCAGAATAATATAGGAGTTTGATATAGGACTGTGGGTGAACATCACAGGCTTAGTGTATAAGAAGCTTCACTGTCTGACCCTGGCCATGCTCCCATGGGGTTGGAGGATCTGGGGAGAGCCACCCCTTCCCACCCACATACATGTAACAAAATCGAGTGACATAGCCCATTAAAGGGGGTTGTGTATACAGACGTACAGCCTCACTGTAATAATTGCTCACTTTTTTAATAGGGTGGTTTTTTCAACAGACAATTGCTGTAGCTGACCTACAGTCTGTATATTTTAATTTTGTGGTAAGTTTCCCAGTCTCCTCGAGAAAGGTATCTAATCAGCAATATCAACAATTTTGCCTTCCCTCTTCCTCCCAGCATTCTGCCATAGAGTGAGGCTTAGCCATGAGTGCATTGAGCCCAGCAGACATAAGTTGAGAATGGTGTCATTCTCATTTGTCTTACGGACATAGCCGAGATTGGTTTTGTCTTTGTTTTCATATCCGTAGGGCTCAATTCACTGGGAAGTTCTCCTTCTCCACTACAACTGAAGTGACATGTGTGAGAAGGCGCCATGCTCTTGTGCAGTTCTCATTCAGTTCAGAGTGGCTTCCATAAGAGAGCGTCCCCAGTGGATTGTAAAGTGACTGAGGCTGTGTCATCTTTCTCTTTGGGAAGTAAAGCACGTGATGTCAGAGTAATAAAAATGTAAGCCCTAAAGCATAAAGCAAAGCTGACAAAAATCATGGCAGACATGTTTTTACATATACCTAACTGCATTTTCTGTTCAGAGGGTTTATCCCTTGCTTAGCCTTTAATAAAATTGGATCCAGAGGTATTTATATCCAAATAAGAAAATTAATATCTTCCTCACTGTATCAGAAAGAGAACATGTCCTCTGAACTGAAACCAAAGAAGGCACTCTTCAGCCTGAATATCATCTGCAAAAGAAATTTACGATCACGTGTGAAGATCTTGTTAACAAAAGTGGAACAGAGTAGAGTATGAAAAATTGGTAGAAGAGAGAACACACATGGGTAAAGCCTGAGAAGACAGAATATGGCCCAGTTCGGTAACCTAGTCAAGTCCCCGCAGATTTTACTCTTACCATGAAGGAAGGAAGGACAGCAGAAATGTTGAGATGGCCTAAAAACAGCTTTTTCCCTTTATACTGCTTTAAGCAGCGTTACTGTTTTAATTGCTTAAACATATGTTTTAAGTAGAGTAATCTTTGTTGAAGCAAGAGATTAGGTTTTTTTTTCTGGTGAATCAGAAAGCCCTTGTGTAGTCATCCATTTACAGCTAGTACAAGGTGCAGATTTGAATTTTGCAGAATGTCAAGTTTTAACACATTGCTGACCTTTGCATCTTATACTTCTAAATACAGTATTAACTAGCTAACATAGACATGAACATTTTTCAGAACAGTTTTTCTTCCAGGTTTTCAAATTAAGGTTTCCTACATTGATCTGAAGTCATTTCAGAGGTGACTGTTGGTAAACGAAGGTCTTTGCTTACTCAGCTGTTGAGATTCAGCAAGGAAAACATGTTCTCAGAAAAGTGCTTCTGGCATATGTGTGGGTAGGTAGGCAGGATGGAGGGCATCAAAAAGCTGGAACAGTTGTCCTGGTTCAGAAACGTTCCTCATCAAGTTTCATCTTGACAAAGTTGTACCAAGCTGTGAGGTTATTCTGCAGGAGGCCCACCACTTTCCCTTCTTCTTCCTCTCTCTCTAGCCAGGGTCATCTTAATGGCCTCTGCCTTAGCCAGACCAACTGCAGTTTTTTCATACACCGCCCAGCTTTGGAAAGCTTGCAGCAATGCACACATTGGCAGCATTTGTCCATAGCAAGCACTTCGGATGGCTCCAGGCACACTTGCGTTTTGTGTGGGGAGCAAAGGGGGCCAGCTGTGATGTTGGAGTGCTGCCACAGACTCCCTGCCTGCACACAGTGCACTGTCCATCACTGTCTGCAATATCATCGCAGTTCTAACTAACTTATAGGGTTTATTTGAGCTCTAGATCTGAGAGCTCTTTATCTTTAAAAATGCAGATTTTCTTTTATTAAATAACTTCCCTTCCTCCTATTTCCCCTTCTGGGGACTGGTTGAATATATTGTGGTGCCCAGGGCAGAAAATCCAAATAATGCCCCTTACTGGAAATGATATGATGAAACCTCTGGCATTTTGCTGCCCTTTCCTGGTACTGTGTCATCCTGCCTAATGGCAACACCCCCAGCCTTGCCCTTCACCCTCTTCTCCCCTAAAGCAATACACACTGGTTCCAAAATATGCTTAATATTCCTTTTCCACTGTGCCTTATACCAGTGACTTTCATGGCATTTGGTAGCTACATTAGAAATATTAGGCTTGGGAAGAGAGAAAGGCAAAGCTGAACCCGTGTGTGATTAAGGACGGGCTGGGCTGTAAGCTGCTCAGCCAATGTGAGTTGGAGTGCTCTGCTCTGTACTCTCTCCATAAGATTTTCAGCTAGGAATACTTTTACAGTTCGTGCAAAGAGGAATTCAAAATGACTCGTAGGATGCTGCTGTTTCTCTGAGTTTCAGCAGGCAGATCTTTTCCTTCCCCTATTGGTGATGCTTCCAGAATTATAAGCATAAGTGCGCACTTACTGTGTTGATGGTCTCTGTGGTTCTTTTTGCAGGTAATAAAAAGGAAAATCCAATTTGCAATTGCAAACCCTGTGAGTGAAATGCGATCTTCATCGTGGCATTGGTCAGGGGGTTACCGCTAATCACAGTACTGTAGTAATGTGCTTCTCCTGCAGCATCTGCCTTTCAAACTGCATACAGTGTGGATCTGTGGTTGACCTAACAAAAGATTTAGATACCACGGCCTCTCGCTTATTAGGTCCTCTTGTCAGAGCTCTGCATACTCCAACCTGATCCTTATTAGGATGGGAGTCCTATATAGCAGATAGGCGTGGGCCTCCAAGCTAAGAGCAGTCCTTTCTAGGGACTTAAGGCAAATTGCTGCCTGACCCACAGAGGGGTGAAATGCTTCCTGCATCCTATTACTTAAAAGGTCAACTGTAAGAGCATTGTTCGGATGTGGACAACTAAATCATAGGCCATCTTTTTTCTTTCCCTTCTTGCACAGGTTTTTCTTGAGTTAGGCTAAGCCTGTTTTCCCATCATGGGCTACATTAAGCAATACATATTGCACAGTCAATACACCCCCCCCAAGCTTGCCTGGGCAGAAAAAGAAGCATACAACTCCAGCATTCCCTAGGCAGCCATGCACTGTAGGACATTTTCTAAACATGCACAGGACTGTACCCTTAATGCATAAGGGTACATTATAGGTCATAGTTAAGTGTTGAGGGGATGCACAGTGTCTCTGGTTGCTCCCAGGGGTCCAGGTTCCCCCCCCCCCCCCCCCCCTGTGTCCTGTTCAGTGTCCTTGACTTGGCACAGCTAGGACCATTTGGCTCAGCTAGAATCATCTCAGTCTTATTTGGATTCACATTCAAGCGGGAGGGGGAGCTCTGAAGCTGGAGAAACAGGAGTTCAGACTGGCATTGGAAAAGCTTGAAACATGGTGGGTGGGGTGTTCAGTGAATTTCCCTTTACTGCAGTAGTTTGTAGCAGGTTTTAAAAAAATCAGAGGAAGTGCTCTGTTTTGTCTTGCACAATCATAGACATATGTGGAATTCCTTACAGAGAAGAGTGTGTGAAAGAGTCTTTCTGGAATCTTGATTTAGGTGGCTCCAAGAAGTTGAAAGTGAAGAGCTACAATTTTATTGTCATCTGGTACCTGAGAAAGCCACCCCCTTGTGGAGACAAACTGTGACTTTGTCCGGTTGCAAGCTTAGCTATATTTCTGTCAGTGATCTGGCTATCAAATCAGAAAGTTAGTGGAGGCTCGACTCACATTCTTAGAAAATCAGAACTTGCATTATAAAAGAAGTATCACATTCTACAGGTGGGACATTGTGAAAAAGAACTTAGCCTGAGAATGTTTGTTTGAGAATGAAAGGTCAGATACTTGTCTACTGAGGTCTACTTTCTGCTTGGTGTATTCAGAATATAGGGCTTGTCACGGTCATGCTGATGTTTCTTACTCTCAAGTCCTAAACTGCTAGAATTGTGTGTTTTCATCAAGGGGTGACTATTTTCAAAGTGTTAAAGAAACTGAAATTCCCTTTAACCCTTTCAGGTAACTTGGATTTGACTGGTCAAAAGCAAGTCTTCAAAGCGGAGAATAATCCCTGGGTTACACCTATTGCAGATCAGTTCCAGCTGGGCATATCTCATGTGTTTGAATATATTCGTTCAGAAACATACAAATAGTAAGTATTGTATTTCTGTATATGTACTGTAGCTTTTTGTTTTTAAAACGGTATTTGGGGACTAACACGTTGTGACCTTGCCTGTGGTCAGTTTAACCAATAGTTTTCACCAACAGGAAAGCTCATTTAAGCCCTTACTCCCCAGAATGAAAGGCAGCAATAAGCTACATCAGATATTCCCTGTCCTTTATTTCCTGCTTATCCCCTTCTTCCTGCATCTTGGCTTGTGTGCTGGAGTGACCAGCTGAGGTGTGTAATGAAGAGCTTTCTGGCTGGGTGTGGCATACTGTTGGGCAGTAGGCTGCAGATTCTGGGAGATGTTGTCCACATCTGAAGGATATGAAGCTGGGGACAGCTGCTCTTGTCTGTCTCCCTGCTTAGAAGAAAGTGGCAGCGATGTATAATAGCATGTTACTGGGCAGTGGATGGGAAAAGGGAGATATTGCCTTGTGGACTGGGCTATTCTGGAAGTGAAAGAAGAAGTGCTTGTGAATATCAGGAGCTGGGTTCCCTCCCTCCCTCCCTCCCTCCTTCCAAACAACAGGCAGTTCTTTGGCAAAAAGCACCTTATTTACAATGTAGATGCAGCAAACTATTAGCCAGCAGAAGACCCCTCTGCTCTCTTCCAAACTCTGTTTCCCGAGCTCTGCCTTGAAGACCTGGAGATGGTGGCCTTGAGACAAGCTCGGCCTCCTCTACCATCTGTGTCCACAGACCATGTTTCCCAACCCTCCACATCCTCATCTGAAGAGGCAGTGCCACCCTGTCCCTTGAAAACATGCCAAGAGCAGCTGCCTCGTTCCTTGCCAACAGTGAGCTATGCTAGACTTCTCTGTCTTTTTTTTCATTTTGCCCTGCTCAATGCTGCATGAAGCTCAGCAGCCTGTCGACATCAATCCAGTTTTGCTTAGTTGCATAAAAATGGAGATGTTGGGTGTGGTCCGTGGTTCATCCTTTCTCGTCAATAACTCGTGTTTGTGTGTGTGTGTTGTATATTTGATTGCTTTTATGTGATATGCCTACCCTCAGCATACAAAATCTTCTTCAGAAGTAGATGACTACTTACCAGAAGTCTTTGATAATGGGCAGTATAAAAATACCATGACTAAATAAAGTAAATTTTAGATTGGAAAGTGCTTAATGAGAGTTCAAAAATACAAAGCCCTGGTGTCCTTTTCTGATTCACTTTTATTTTTCACAAGTTTTACTTTGAGATTGTAATTACTGGATTACTTGGGAAATTATTTATAGCTGAAAGTGTTCACCCTCAAAACTGCTAGCTGGAGGGGGTGGAAGTGGTATGCAGCTATGTCCACAACGGGGAGCATCTCTGCCCTGGCAACCCTATTGCACCTGTTGATGGGATCTAGTGGTGACAGACTTTCTGCCGGCTTGGGGTGAAGTAGAAATTGCATGGGTGCACTGCATCCAAGACCCCTCGGTTCCCTTATGAGGCCTTCGGATCGGGCCTGTCTCCTCTGCTTGCCTTGGTTTCAATGGGAGGAGTAAATTAAGAGCAGCAGCAGTGGGGAAAAGGCAAGGCTGCCCTACAGCACATTTGCTAACATGAGGAGCAGGCAATTGGCCACTTCCCAACCCACACTGCCCTGTGTGTTATGTTGCCTTTTAATTTGTTTGGTAAATTAAACTGACATTATTAGAAAAGTAGCATAAAAGTAGGATAATGCTGCCTAGGTAATATTCCGTGTTTGTGTCTGCATCTATCTACACATCCCTCTTTTGTTCCAAGACCAGCTGAGGAGATGGAGCAGAAGGGGCAGTGGATTTTGCCAAGGAAGTTAAAAGCTGGAGGAATGAGAGATCAAGGAGTAAAGCAGGCAGGGAATGATGGCAGAATGCAGAGCCTGGCCCATGTCCATCCACTCAGCTAGCCAAGTAGATTTCTGTTTGGGGGGGGGGGAATCACACCTATTCCCACACTTTGGTGGGCGTCTCTCTAGTCAAATTATGGTTAGTAAAAGCAGTTTAAATGTTTGGTTGTGTGTCTACATGCGTGATCACACAAGGTGTATGACAGTAATGCCACAGCTACTTTCCTTGAAAGTGCTACAACCAAGAAGGTTTTATGCAAAGGGGATTATAGGTGCATAAATTATTGAAATCAGCTTCTACTTTCTGTTCATGATGCATTTTCAATGAGGTCTTCCATACTGAATGAATTACCCACCCATGGATTAGAGGACATATGTGAAATTGCAGCTGCCATATGTTAGAAATTATGATGAAACCATAAAGAAATGCCTGACTACACTGAAGGAGATGTGACTCCAGTAATTTTTCAGCTGAGCGTCATTTGATCAGATAGGAAGGTGTAATTATGCATGGAGTATGAGGAATGCTTAGGTGGGCAAATGTCTTTGTTGGGCTGTAGGTTTGAAAGATGGTCTTGCAAAGTATGTCTCTTCCTGTAACTGTATCAGAGCACAAAGCTAAGAGAGAATACCTCTTGTTATCTGCATGTGGACAGTTTTTGATGTCAAAGCATGTCTTTCACCTTGCTTGCTATCCTGAAATCAAGGCAGGATGTTGACATAAGAAGACAAGAAAAGGGGGTGTTGTTTTTGTTAATTGTTACTACGTGCAGCAGGAGCATGCAAACAGCCTTTGGAAACGCATCAACACTGAACTTCCCAAAAACTGTTCTAATGTGATTAAAATTGTAAGACGGTTTCCCCCTTTTTGTGATTGATCTCATTGAACCAAATAATTGGCCCATTTTACACAGCACAGCCACCCAGAGTGTTAATGAATGAGTGATTGTTCTGGGTCCTGCAGAATAATTACTGGGAGAAGTTAAACAACTCGTGTGGGGGTATCTGTGGAGCGTGTAGTTGTGTGTGCAAACCAGGAGCACTGAGTTGATACAGGAGTGATAATCCAGAGTTAAACCCCAGGTTCCAGTCCTTGTACCAGGGAGAAATTAAGCAATTAATATTTGTGCTCAGTTCACAACCAGTCAGGGTTTTAAAAACCCAGGTTTGTTGTGACAGGTCAGCCAGGCCAATGTTTCCTTGAAAGCAACTAACCATTTGCTTTATTGTTTTTTGGGGGTAATGTTTGACTTCTGAGAGATTGAGAGTTCTGTCCTGGACATTGGGAGCAGATTTACAAGACTTTATTTATGAACCTAGGAATTACTTGGCTGGTTCAGGTCAAGAACCTATCTAGTCCAGCATTCTTGACTGATTGATTGACCTTATTTTTTTATCCTTGTTTTCTGACCATTGTTATCTGCAACTCACATCAGTGAAAAGAGAGGCAGGCCCTAGCATCAGGCTTACAAACCAAATCAGGCATGTGCGCTCCCCCCTCTCCCCCTCTCTCACACGCGCGTGCGCGGAGGTAGGTGGGGATAAAGGAAAAGGGGAGGTAAGTTCTTCAAACACAGAACAAAATGGTTTGTTGGGTTTTATATTCTCAGTGGGCATTTATATCCTAAATTGGCCATGTAGAACTTGCCTGCTGATGGTTTTGCTTGAATAGCCATTGGTGGCCTCTGGTGGCCAGTGGATATGAGTGACGTGTTCCCCTTCAGCCTTTGTTTTAGCAGTTCCAGGGCAGCAGTCATTAGTTGGCATTGAGCCTTCACCTCTGGCAGGGCAGGAAGCAAGTCTCCTTGTAGCTGCTCTTTCTGCATCCACTGGATGGAGCCAGGTAGGATTCCCATTTGCATTGACAGTGTTTTATTCCTGGAAAGTTGATGTTACTGGAAAGTTGATGGCCAGTGGCAGAATCCAGAATGAACTTTGTTTTCTCAAGCAGCAGCCGGAAAAAATGCCTTTGGTTGTTCAAACTGCATTTTTAAGCATGCATGAAAAAAATACCTTTTTAAACCTCATACTTCATCAATTATACATTTGTACACTTTCTGTCCTAAACTATACATTTTGGTTTTCCTTTTAACCTGAATTTTTCCTTTTTGCATGGATTGTGGTATGGAGGATTTTGTCATGAAATCTGGAAAATGGCCAGAATGTTCTAGTCCTGGAAGAGCAAATCAAATCAGTTGGCCTAAAATCGTGAGTGCATGAAATCCATGCATTTTCCTTTCTTACTGAATTCCCTCAATGAAAATGAAATTCCTTGGTCCTGTAAAGCCGCCTCTGTCAAGTTGTGGGAAAGTGACTGAGTGAAACTGGCCATGTCAAATAAGTGGAAATCCAGCAAGCAGACTTTACATTGTAGACCAGGAGTCAAATTTGTTTGCACATGAAATTAGCTCCCTGTTAACTTCATGGGGTGTTCATTTATGTTCCTTAACCTTGTTCCCCTAAGGAGAAACCACAACACTTATATCCTTTATAAAGGCAGCATCTTCCCTTGAAAAGCAATAACTACATGGGTTTTTATTGGTGCCCCAGTCAACTTTCAAAGTGACCTTTTATGTTAGAAGTGTATTCTCGGAGGGCCTTGTAAGTCTAGGATAGTGACAAAGACATGATGGATAGAATGATGTATTGGTTGTAATGTACTTAGCAAGTACACACAGATACAAAAGTTTGAAACAAAACACCAAATTAAATTCCTATGAAGAATTGCAGTCTGGAAGTGTTACTCAGAATTAGTGTAACATAATTAGTGACTTGATGATGAGGCAAAACCCCAACAAGCAAAGAGGGTTGATGAGGGTTGGGCTCAGCAGCTAGCGCTCCTGGAACGAGTGGCAGTTTTCCAAGTACATTGCAAGCATTAATCATGTTCTTCTGATCATTTCTCCATCTGCAAATTGCTCATCCTTTCTTCTCAAGGCATGTTGAAAAGCGCTATCATTTGTGGCACGGCTTTGTGAAGTTGTTACCTGAAGATCTCACCTCTTGTTAGAACTGCACTGTCACTGCGTGCAGCATTTTGTTTAAACCCACTCCCCTTTCGGTTGTTACACCAAATTGATTCTTCTTTTTAACACTCAGTTTTCAAATGTTGTTTCCTCATGAGACCTTTTCTTTTGCTTTCAGCAAAATGTTCACAAAGAATGGCTC